TCAAGTGCTAGGCCGGCGCCGCGGCTCACTAGGCTAATCCTCCGCCTAGCAGCGCCGGCACACCGGGTTCTAGTCCCGGTCGGGGCGCCGAATTCTGTCCCGGTTGCCCCTCTTCCAGGCCAGCCCTCTGCTGTGGCCAGGGAGTGCAGTGGAGGATGGCCCAGGTGCTTGGGCCCTGCACCCCATGGGAGACCAGGAAAAGCACCTGGCTCCTGGCTCCTGCCATCCGATCAGCGCGGTGCGCCGGCCGCGGCGGCCATTGGAGGGTGAACCAACGGCAAAGGAAGACCTTTCTCTCTGTCTCTCTCTCTCACTGTCCACTCTGCCTGTCAAAAAAATAAAAAATAAAAAAATAAAAAAATAAAAAAAATTTTGTCAAGTGCTTTTTCTGCTTCTACTGAGATAATTTGTTGGGTTTTTTCCTTCATTCTATTGGTAGGGTGTAGTACATTAATTGGTTTTTGGATTTCAAACTAGTGTTGCTTTCTTGGGATAAGTTTCACTAGTTATAGTCTGTAATTGTTTTTATACTTTGCTGGATTAGGATTGATAATATTGTGTGGATGATTATTACATTTATTTATTCATTTAGTTATTTTGTTTTGACAGGCAGAGTTAGAGAGTGAGAGAGAGACAGAGAGAAAGGTCTTCCTTCTGTTGGTTCACTCCCCAAATGGCTGCCATAGCCCGCGTACTGCGTTGATGCAAAGCCAAGAGCCAGGCGCTTCCCCCTGGTCTCCCATGTGGGTGCAGGGCCCAAGCACTAGGGTCATCCTCCACTGCCTTCCCGGGCCACAGCAGAGAGCTGGACTGGAAGAGGAGCAGCCAGAACTAGAACCCGGGGTGCCGGCACCACAGGTGGAGGATTAACCTAGTGAGCCACGGCACCGGCCTCGATTATTACATTCATATTGATAAGATATATTGGTGTATAGTTTACCTGAGATAGGTTTGTTTGGTTTTGGTATCAAGATAATAATGGTCCCATAGAATGAGTTGGGAAATGATCCATCCTCTTCTGACTTGTGAAAGAGTTTATGAAATATTAGTAATAATTTTTTTTAATGTTTTATATTCAGTGGTAAAGCTATATGGGCTTGGGCTTTTCTTTATGGCTACTTTTTGGATAACTTATTCAATGTTTTTACTGAATATATATCTATTCAAATTGCCTTTTTCTTCTTGAGTCACTATTAATACTTTGTGTCTTCCTAGAAACTTAACCGTTTCATCTGGGTTATCTAAGTTACTGGCAAATAGGTGTTCCTTGTCTTCCTTTATAATTCCTTGTATTTGTATGATATTAATGGTAATGTCCTCTCTTTCATTCCTCATTTTAGTAATTTGAGTTTCTTCTCTTTCTTCCCTTGTCCAGTCTCCCTAACGTTGTCTCTGTATGGTTGATCTGTTCAAGAAACAACTTTTAGTTTTATAGATTTTCTCTATTGTTTCTTTATTTTCAATTGTATTTATTCGTATTCTAATCTTTGTGTCCTTTATTCTATTTACTTTCAGTTTAGTGTTCTCTGCCTTTTCCATGTTTTAAGGTGAAAAGTAGATTCTTGGTATGAGATCTTTTTTCTTTTTCAACATAGGCATATGTAGCTACAGATTTTCCTCTAAGCAAGTCTTTGCTGCAACTCATGTTTTGAAAGTTTGTACTTTAATTTCATTATCTCAAAGTCTTCTCTAATTTCTCTTGTGATTTCTTCTTTTGACATACTGGATATTTTGAAGTATGCCTTCATATTAAAAGGATGTTGTTTGAGTGTAAACATGGTTTCATTGTGTCCCTCCAGGGTTCATATGTTGGAAGCTTAGTCCCTACGGTACAAATGAGAGAGATGCAGCCTAGTGGGAGATCCTTGAGGGCATGCTCTTTGAAGTGAGGGGCCGGCACTGTGGTGTAGCTGCAGTGCCGGCATCCCATGTGACCACCTGTTCAAATCCTGGCTGCTCCACTTCTGATCTGGCTCACTGCTGTGGCCTGGCAAAACAGTGGAAGATGGTCAGAAGTCCTTGGGCCCCTGTACCCGCATGGGAGACCCGGAAGATGCTCCTGGCTCCTGGCTTTGGATCGGCCCAGTTCCAGCCATTGTGACCAATTGGGGAGTGAACCAGCATATAGAAGACCTCTCCTAATCTCTCTCTCTCTCACTCTCTGTCTGCCTCTCCTTCCTCTCCTCTCTCTATGTAACTCTGACTTTCAAATAAATAAACAAATCTTAAAAAAAGAAGAAGAAGAAGAAGAAGTGATTGTGGGGCCCCATCCTATTTGGCTTCCTTTTTGACACGGGAATGCAATTACTCACTCCAGAGACACTGTTGCCATGATGTTGTCTCCCAATAGGTCCTCACCAGAATCTGAACCAAAGGAGCTGGCAGATTTTAAACTTTCATCCTCCCAAACTGAGCTAAATAAACCTCTTTTCTTCATGAGTAACCTACCTCAGATATTTTATTACAATAATGAAAAGTGGAATAATACAGATGTAAAGCACCGAACTTGCTTTAGAAAACACTTTGGCAGTTCCTTAAAATGTTAAACCTAGTGTTACCATATGATCCAACAGTTCCATCCCTAGGTATATACTCAACAGAACTGGAAATATATGAGTACAAAAAATGTTATGCAAATGTTTATAGTAGTATTACTCATGATATTCAAAAAAGTGAAAACAACTAAAACGTCCCTGAATTGATGAATAAATAAATAAAATATGATGTATCTATGTAATGGAATATTATTAGAATATAAAAAGAAATGAAGGAGTATACATGCAACAAAATGATGAAACTTGAAAACACTATGCTAAGTGAAAGAAGCCAGATGCAAAAGACTACATATTATATGTTTCTATTTATATGAAATATCCAGAATAGGAAAGTTCGTGAAGACAAAAAGTAGATTAGTAGTTTTCAGGATCTGAGGGAGAAGAAATGGGCAGTGACTAGTAATGGGTGTAGAGTTTCTTTTTGGTTGATAAAAGTATTCCAGAATCAGAGATTGGTGATTGATGTATTCCTTGTAAATATACTAAAAGTCACTGAATTGTGTACTTCAAAAGTGTGAACTTTATGGTATATGAGCTGTATCTCAATAAAGTCTGCTATTTCAAAAAACGTATTAAAACAACAGTGAGATACTGCTCTGTGCAGCCTATTAGAGTTGTAAAAATGAAAAGATTTCATGATGTTGTTAAGGTGAGTATACATTTAGACAAGACTGGCCAACATGGTAATATTCATCAAACATTAAACACCATAACCTTAAACCCAGCTATTCTATTTCTGAAAATGTGTCCTATAATACCTTTAATAGAAATATAGACAAGTATAAAGGTTAGTGGCTAATAGATGTAGATATCAATACATACTCCTACCCCTGTATATTCATACATACAATATGTATACATACAAAGTTACATAGTGTTTTTTTGTTTGTTTGTTTGTTTGTTTTTGACAGGCAGAGTGGACAGTGAGAGAGAGAAACAGAGAGAAAGGTCTTCCTTTATTGCTGTTGGTTCACCCTCCAATGGCCACTGCCACTGGCGCGCTGTGGTCGGCGCACCGCGCTGATCCGAAGGCAGGAGCCAGGTGCTTCTCCTGGTCTCCCATGGGGTGCAGGGCCCAAGCACTTGGGCCATCCTCCACTGCACTCCCGGGCCACAGCAGAGAGCTGGCCTGGAAGAGGGGCAACCGGGACAGAATTCAGCGCCCCGACCGGGACTAGAACCCGGTGTGCCGGCGCCGCAAGGCAGGGGATTAGCCTACTGTGCCGTGGCGCCGGCCTACATAGTTATTTTTATAACTGCATAAAAGGTAGAAGCAGCCTATATGCCTAGTATCAGGAGTCACATTTAAATATTTTGCAGTACATCTATATAACAGTGGGTTCCTATTCAGTCTGTAAATGATGTATTATTATAATGCAAGTCTTATATAATTTTCATAACCAAGTAAACATAGGTACTTTAAAGTTATTCTAAGACATATTTTGAGGCCGGCGCCGCGGCTCAATAGGCTAATCTTCCGCCTGTGGCGCAGGCATCCCGGGTTTTAGTCCCAGTTTGGGCACCAGATTCTGTCCTGGTTGCTCCTCTTCCTGTCCAGCTCTCTGCTGTGGCCCAGGAGTGCAGTGGAGGATGGCCCAAGTGCTTGGGCCCTGCACCCCATGGGAGACCAGGATAAGCACCTGGCTCCTGGCTTCGGATCAGCACGGTTCGCCAGCCGCAGTGGCTACTGGGGGGTGAACCAACGGCAATAAAGGAAGACCTGGCCGGCGGCTCACTAGGCTAATCCTCCGCCTAGCGGCGCCGGCACACCAGGTTCTAGTCCCGGTCGGGGCGCCGGATTCTGTCCCGGTTGCCCCTCTTCCAGGCCAGCCCTCTGCTGTGGCCAAGGAGTGCAGTGGGGGATGGCCCAAGTGCTTGGGCCCTGCACCCCATGGGAGACCAGGAAAAGCACCTGGCTCCTGGCTCCTGCCATCGGATCAGCACGGTGCGCCGGCCGCAGCGCGCTGGCCTCGGCGGCCATTGGAGGGTGAACCAACGGCAAAGGAAGACCTTTCTCTCTGTCTCTCTCTCTCACTGTCCACTCTGCCTGTCAAAAAAAAAAAAAAAAAAGAAGAAGAAAAAAAAAATAAAGGAAGACCTTTCTCTCTCTCTCTCACTGTCCACTCTGTCAAAAAAAGAAAAAAGACATATTTTGAAGGACAGATTTTTAGTTGTATACAGCATGTATAATATGATTCTCTTCGTTTGAACAAAAGAAAATATATACATATACATGCGTAAAAATCTGTAAGCATATTTAAGAAAAAGATAGCAATTTATCCTGAAGAATGGTGTGGCAGAGGTGGGCATGGAGAAGAAGGAAAGGCCTTGAGGAGGAAGTAGATTTTTCAGAATTTGTACCATTTTATTAACTTTTTTTTATCAATGTTATAATAATTTGCTTAAAACTGTTACAACATATTGAGCGTACTTGTATTGTTTCAGCTCTTTATGCAGATTGAAGCTCTCTTCCCCCAAAAATTTGGGACGTGGACTGACTATGCCAAAAGATACTGTAATGCACATGTCAGGTATAAGAAACCATTTCTATAAACTTTTTTCCTTATGTATTCACTGTGAATAGTAAGCTTTATTAGTCATTTTTTTCCAGTGCTTTTCAAACTTCTGGTACCAATGGAATAAATTCTTTAAGTTTGTGTGAATGATCTATATGTAAAATTTATAAAACTTAAAGGTAATGCTAGAATTTTTTGTATATTTTTTATTTCCACTTTTTAATTTTTGAAATTATTTATTTTTATCGACTAGATATTATATGGGTACTTCAAAAAGTTCATGGAAATAGAATTAAAAAATCAATTTATTTTGGTACAAAAATTTGTATGTGACAAAGCATGTATGATTATACATATATAAAATCATTATTTTCTAAATATATATAAAAAGCTTCAAAAAGTTTGTGGAAATGGAATTAAAAGAATAAAAAAAAAGTTACTTCTCACCATAAACTCCATCAACTTTAAGACACTTATAAGTGGTGATACTAGCTATTCAGTCCATTCCACAAGATTTGAGGGTCCTGTGAATTTAATAATGCTATTGCTGTCTATATTATTAACTAAAGAAAAATGAATTCCCTTTAAGACTTTAAGATTAGAAAGCAAAAAGAATTCAGAAGGAGCCAAATCAGGAATGTATGGTCTGTACCTAATGATTTCCCATCAAAACTCTTGCAAAGTTATCATTGTTTGATGAGAAAAATGAGAGAGCCAGAACTTTATTGTGGTAAAGGATTCTGTGTTGCAGCTTTCCAGGCATTGTTCAGCTAATGCTTTGGATAACTTTCTTAAAACACTCTTCTAATAAGCAGGTAGTATCATTCTTTAGCCAACTAGAAAGTCAATAAGAAAAATGCCTTCAATATCCTCTCAAAACTGTTGTCATGACCTTTGCCTGTGACAGGTCTGCTTTTAGTTTTACCAGACCACTTCTACTGCATGGTAACCATTCCCTTGGTTGTGCTTTGTCTTCAGGATCTTACTGGTAAAGCCACATTTCATCTCTTGCTACATATTTTGAAATCCATGCATATATGAGAGCTGTTTAAAAAGTTCATATAAGATGAATGTCATGATAAAACTATGCATGGATCTTGGATTTTTGGCACTAAAATAAATTTGTCTTTTAATTTTTGAAGTACCCTCATATATATATATATTTACAAAACCATATGGTTATACATACATATTCATAAATAAAATTGCATGCTTAGTATGTAACTTCTTGACATTAACCAAATCAGTATGAGACTTATTAAATAAATTATGAGTATATCCATATAAAAGAAAACTATACAATCTTAGAATTCTAAGATTAGGGTCTGGCGCCCTGGCGCACTAGCTTGATCCTCCGCCTGCGGCACTGGCATCCCATATGGGTGCCGGGTTCTGGTCCTGGTTGCTCCTCTTCCAGTCCAGCTCTCTGCTGTGGCCTGGGAAGGCAGTGGAGCTTGGCCCAGGTGCTTGGGCCCCGGCACCCGCTTGGGAGACCAGGAGGAGTCACCTGGCTCTTGGCTTCAGATTGGCGCAGCTCCAGCCGTTGCGGCCATTTGGGAAGTGAACCAGCAGATGGAAGACCTCTCTCTCTCTCTCTCTCTCTCTCTCTCTCTCTCTCTCTCTTACTCTCTCACTGTTTGTAACTCTACCTGTCAAATAAATAAATTTAAAAATCTTTTTAAAAAAAAGAAAAATTAACGCAACTTAGTATATACTGATAACAAAGAATGTCTAAGATACATTATTGAAAGAAAAAGATATTATAGAAAATTGTGTTATCTTTTTTAAGAAAGTGTTTATACCTACTAACAGATACCACATACATCACACACACACATGCGAACATTTTAATTTTGCCTGGAAATCCCAGATTTTTCAACATGATAGCCCCTGACCCAGGTGAAAGCCTGGGTCTTCTCTGTAGAAACCATTGGGCACTGTGGAGTCTGCTTTGCTTGCTGTGAGTTCAACTATTCAGCCATAATGTGAGTACTTAGCTGGCCGGAGATTTATAAGGAACCATATTTCAGTGGCATGAAATGGGTATGTTGGGGAACATAGCTCACATTGCGTTCTCCACTGGAATGAGTTACTATTTAGCAGCTCTTAAACAGTAAGAACATTTGTCTTCTCGAGGTTATTTTCCCAGTGTCTAGTACAGCACCTGTCATGTACTATTCATTATTTATTCAGTCATTGGAAATTAGATCTGTTTGTCCTTATGTACCTCCTGCACATGGATGATATCATTCATCTTGCTAAATTCACAGAAGCTGCCAAGCTGATGGAGTTACTCAGATGTAACTTTAAACTGCTCATGAAAATTAATATGGTATTAAAGAATAAGCAGCACAACCATCTTGAAGAAGGATTTCTCACAATGTAAATATGGCATTCCCTGAGTGCATAGAGCTAGCCTGCATATTTGGATAACTTTCCTACCTCAAAGTCTGGTTTTCTTCATTTTGACTTTAAATTATGAGCAAAACAAAGATTATTCTTAAACTCATGGAACTCCTAAGAAAAGTTCTTATGTAGTTATCACTGTAATGTTTATTGTAATACCGTGTAAAATAAAAATTGGAGAATCTAGTGTCATTTGGCTAATTTTTGTTAGGAATGTTAAGCTGAAATAGCTTTGTGACTGGGGTGAAGTAGGTGTATATGGATCAGTTTTAATTTAATTAACCTCTAAACCAATTTGGGTACTTGTTTGATCAAAGTAGTCTTTAGTCTTTGCCAAGTAATTTCTTTCTTTCTTTCTTTTTTTTTTTTTTAACAATGCTTGGAAATGAAAAAGTGACGTTTTGACCCTTCCTTCCACCCGGAAATCCACGGTAGCATCTGTTGTGAAACTGTTCGTTTCTTTTTCTTTTTTTTTTTTTTTTTTTTTTTTGACAAGCAGAGTGGACAGTGAGAAAGAGAGACAGAGAGAAAGGTCTTCCTTTTGCCGTTGGTTCACCCTCCAATGGCCGCCACGGCCAGCACGCTGCAGCCGGCGCACCGTGCTGATCTGATGGCAGGAGCCAGGAGCCAGGTGCTTTTCCTGGTCTCCCATGGGGTGCAGGGCCCAAGCACCTGGGCCATCCTCCACTGCACTCCCGGGCCACAGCAGAGAGCTGGCCTGGAAGAGGGGCAACCGGGACAGAATCCGGCGCCCCAACCAGGACTAGAACCCGGTGTGCCGGCGCCGCTAGGCAGAGGATTAGCCTAGTGAGCCACGGCGCCGGCCGAAACTGTTAGTTTCTTATCCTCTTTGTTCCCTCTGAGCAATATTCTGGTTTGGTGTGGGTGGATATAACTGGGGGAAGTTGACGCTGTATTCCATTCACTGGTGGATTGTGGTCAGTCTTAGCCATTTAGCACATAGCATTCTTCAGATGACAATTATTGTTCTAGGGAAAGGCTTTATTTCAAAGATAAAGGAAAAGATGCTTTCTGAGTATGAGCATCTCATACTGTTGTCTTGTTCTCTATTACATATCCTGTTTAGATGAGACAGGATCTTTGATGTCACAGATCTAGGAGGCTTCTGGACTGAATTTCTTTTTATGTATTGCAATCCATTTCTTTTTTACTAGGCTATCTTGATTCAGAGTTTCAGTTCCTTGTAGTTGTATTCCTTGAAGTTGTGGTTCCTAGTATATCATGCCTAAATATTAATTTTATTCCCATGAAAGATGTGTTTGCTCTGTTGGTCAGAATTTTGGAGGAGCCTGTAATCATGACTCTTACAGACTGTAGACACTGGAAGTTTGCCTACATAAAATAAACATGCTTACTGGATTTAAATTTGGGGGACTGGAAAAATCCAAGTGGTCGATAAGTGACTTTTTTTTCCCAACAAGAACTTGTCGTAGGACAACAAAAGTATATACCTGTCTTTTTGTTACTTATGAGTGTAAGTACTGTTTCAAAGAAAGGCTTGTCTTTGTGAAATACTCTATCATTGTGGAGATTGTGTCCTATTTCCTATTTTCTAAAGAAACCCATTTCAAGATTAATATCATGCTTCTGAAAAGACTTTTTGTTCTGGGTTCCATTTCAGAAGTTTTTTTAGTCCTTCAACTTCTTTACCTTGAAAGCACTATGGTTTTGTAGACTGATTCAGAATAAGGCACTTCCTGGCATTTTAAGTTAGTCTGTGGAATGCTATATTTTTTCTCATAATGTTTTGATTCTGTGAAGGTGTCATTTTCACACTATAATTTTGCAGAATGCAAATTATGGTTAGTTATTCAGTTCTAGACCCATATTTTATATTTGAAATGTCATGACTATATTGAAAATAAAGTTTAGTAAAGCTTCAGCAAAAATGTAACTTTGTCTTTATGAAGTTTATTGAATACCTAAGTAATAGCAAACAGCAGCAGCATAATAATGCAATATCATTTGGAGAGAAGTCAAGGTATAGGTAACTCCCTACCTGGTGTGATTTGAGAGGCACAGAGAAAGTATTAGTCAACCAAAATATCTCTATCCAGAATGCTTTACATCATTCACTTTACTGGGTTAAATTTAGAGGAAACTGTAAATACAAATATGGTTAGGAGAACACAGCACATTCAGTTCTCAATCAGCACACCGAGTGGTCAGTTTTTAGAAAAGACCTGAGGGCTGGCGCCGTGGCTCACTAGGCTAATCCTCCGCCTAGCGGCGCCGGCACACCGGATTCTAGTCCCGGTTGGGGCGCCGGATTCTGTCCCGGTTGCCCCTCTTCCAGGCCAGCTCTCTGCTGTGGCCAGGGAGTGCAGTGGAGGATGGCCCAGGTGCTTGGGCCCTGCACCCCATGGGAAACCAGGAAAAGCACCTGGCTCCTGGCTCCTGCCATCGGATCAGCGTGGTGCGCCGGCCGCAGCGCGCCGGCCGCGGCGGCCATTGGAGGGTGAACCAACGGCAAAGGAAGACCTTTCTCTCTGTCTCTCTCTCTCACTGTCCACTCTGCCTGTCAAAAAATTAAAAAAAAAAAAAAAAGAAAAGAAAAGACCTGAGAGATCACCCAGTTCCCTTTACCA